GTCTGCTTGTCTTACACTCCAGTGTTTTTAAATATTTATCAGTTTTTCTCTATCTGCCTGTTACTTTGATAAAGGTCTAGTTTTATGTATCCAATATGACAACTACTGGCCATGCATGAAAAAAATGCCTCATCTAAATTAAAGAATGTAAAAGGTCTTAGTGTTTTTACACTGATTTCAGGTTGAAATATTTTATATACATCTTGCTCAATATTAAAAATTAAGTTCCCTTATTTACTTTTACTTTTTAAGATGGCAACTAGAAAATCTGTAGTTACCTATGTGGCTCATCATATTTCTGTTGGGCTGTGCTGATCTAGTTAGTTCACTACAGCTGACAAGAAACCCCGTCAGAGGTTGGAAAGTCTCCAGGCAAAACAAAGCAAGAGTTTAATTTAACATTTCTCTGATAATTTGTAATCTAATATATTTTTATTTGGTAGGAAGAATAGAGGTAGTTGAAGGGAGAGTTGCCTTAGGTACTGGGAAGTTTACACTCAGAAAGTTTTTCCTTTGTATCCACTTGTCAGTCTAAAACCTATGCAATGCATTCCTGTTTAACACCTGGCAACCTGGTGAATACAGTTTACTTCAAAGCTATATATGAGCATGAGATTTAAGCAATACAGTGATATTCCAGATCCTAGGGACTTATAACAAAAGTATTTAAATTCAGCATTCATTTTCTTAACTACTAGAGGCACTAAACTACTACTCAATGCCCTCAAAAATGAAAATTATTCTGGATATTCATTATAACCATAATGATTAAGTTAATACATGCATATTTTAAAATCCAGAGAAATAGTGTATCTTTACTCCTATATGCAACACACCTTAAGAAAATTTCAGTCTCCACCCTATTTATACCGTAATGATCTTATATCATCTGCCTTTTCATTTCCTTTCTCTTACTCAATACATTTTATAAAATATTAATAGCTACCATTAGACTGCTAGGCACTTATTATGTGCTGTGACAAATTCATGTAACAGTTCTATGACAAAGGTAGAATTATCTTCCTTTAACATCTAAGAAAACTGACTTCTGAAAGGCTTGTAATTGATCCATTACAATTCTAGACATTTAGGTTAAAAAAAGAGGGGATTAATAAATTATGCTGCATAAAAAAAATTGTGCCCTGTAAATGTTAAGAATGACTGATGATGATAAATTCACACATATATAGTCAACTAATTTTTGACAAACGCACCAAAAGTACACAATGATGAAAGGAGAGTCTTCAATAAATGGTGTTGGGGAAACTGGATATCCACATACAAAAAAATAAAATTAGATAATTACCTTACATGGAAAATAATGCAAAATCATTTAAAGACTTAAAGACCTGAAACCATAAAACTCCTTTAAGAATACATAGGGAAAATATTCCCTGACATTTGTCTTGACAATAAGTTTTTTTGTTTTGACACCAAAAACATGCATCAAAAGCAAAAATAAACAATTAGGGCTATATCAAACTAAAAAGCTGCTGCACAGCAAAAGAATTAGTCAAAAAATGATAAGGCAATCTATAAAATGGAAGAAAATATTTGAAAGTTCTATGTCTGATGAGGGTTTAATATCCAAAATATATACGAAATACAGCTCAATACCAAAAAAAATCCTAATTTAAAGTAGATAAAGGACCTGAATAGACATTTTACAAAGAAAGACATATAAATGGCCAACTCATATGTAAATAGATGCTCAATATCATTAATTATTAGGAAAATTTTTAAAAACCACAAAGAACTCAAAGATTTATTACCTCACACCTGTTAGAATGGTTACTAAAAAAATGTCAAATAATAAAAAGCATTGAAGAGGATGTGGAAAAAAGTAAACCCTTGTACACTGTTGGCGAAAAAGTAAATTGGTACATCCATGTTCATAGCAGCACAATTTACAATAGCCAAGTGCTGGAAGCAACCTAACTGCCCATCAGTAAATGGGTGGATCAAAAAACTGTGATACATTTACACAATGAAATACTATGCAGCAGAAAGAAAAGAAGGAACTCCTACCCTTGCTGTCAGCATGGATGGAACTGGAGAACATTATGCTAAATGAAATAAGCCAGTCAGTGAAAGACAAATACCATGTGATCTCACCTGTAAGTGGAACCTAATCAATAAAACAAGCAAGCAAGCAAAATATAACCAGAGACATTCAAATAAAGACAAACTGACAGTAATTAGAGGGGAGGGGGAAGGGAGATAACAGAAGAAAGAAGGGGAGGGGTTGCCAAGAAACATGTGAAAAGGACTGGTGGACAAAGCCAAACTGGGGTAGGATTGAGGGTAGGAGATGGGGGTGGGTAGGGTGGGGGAAAGTGTGACGGGAAAATGGGGACAACTGTACTTGAACAATAACCACCCCTCCCCCAAAAGAAAAACAGTATAAAGTTTCCTCAGAAAGTTAAAAACAGAACTGCTATATGACCCAGCAATCCTATTTCTGAGTATATATCCAAAGGAAACAAAACAACCTTAGTGTCTATAGAAAGACAAATTAAGAAAATTGTGTTTACGGAATATTATTCTGCCTTTAAAAGGAGAAAATCCTGTCATTTTTAACAACATGAATGAACCTGGAGGACATTATGCTAAGTGAAATAAACCAGACACAGAAACACAGATACCATATAATCTCACGTATATGTGAACTCTTCAAAAAAAGAAGTTGAACTCAGTAATGTAGAATAGAGAATAGTAGTTACCAACAGGGTGAAGGTGAATGAAGGGGAGCTATTGATCAAAGGGTAAAACTTTCAGATAAGTTCTGAACGCATAATGTACAGCATGGTAACTATGGTTAATAATAATGTACTGTATACTTGTAATTTACTAAAAGAGTAGATCTCCAGTGTTCTCACCACACACACAAAATAGTAACTATGTGACATAATAGACATGTTAATTAGCTTGACTGTGGTAATCATTTCACAACATAAAAACAAATAAAAACATCATGATGTACCCCTTAAATATATATCCAATTTTGTCAGTCATACCTCAAGAAAGTTAGAGGTAAGAACGATGGGGAAAAGACATGTAATAAGTAGGCTATAAAATATTCAGTGTTAAAATATAATCACTGCCAAAATATTGAGAAATGGAAGGATGGTCACCAAATTGTTTAGCAGTGATTGCACCTGGAAGTTGATTACATGTGTGCTATGTTCTAAAGAGAAGGGTGAATATCAATGGCAACCTAAGTAGAACACCTGAGTAGTAAGTAAATAACTGACAAAAAACAAACATCATTTAAATATTTTTATTATAAAATAGTTCAAATATACAAAAGATACAGAGATTAAGAAACTATTTATAAACCCATGACCAGCCTTATCAAATTATAAGGATTGGTCATACTTGCTTATATTTTGAAGAAATAAGTGATTACTTGCATCCTTTCCTCAACCTCATTATTCACCCTTCCCAGATCACCACTGTTCTGAATTTGATGATTATTTTCATGAATGTTATTACACTATTTCTACATGATATTTAGCAATGGAAAAAAGTGTTGATCTGCATGTTTTCAAACATTAACAAGTGGTATCATATCATACAAAACCCTCCAGTTCAATTTCATTCTTTTTGAGATTTGTTCATGTTGATAGAAGTATAACTAGTTCATTCATTTTAACTTGGGTTCTAACTTATATTCACCTTAATGGTTATTTTAATTGCTTTCAACTTTCATTCTCACAAACAATTCTGAAGTGGATCTTCATATGCCTGTCCCTGAACACGTGAGGAGACTCTGCAGTAGGGGTATCCAACCTTTTGGCATGTTTGTGCCCCACTGGAAGAAGAGTAGTCTTGGGCCACTTATTAAATACATTGCAACATGTAATCGCAAAAATATCTCATAATGTTTTGAGTAAACTTATAATTTTGTGTTGGGCCACATTCACAGCCATCCTGAGCTGCATGTAGCCCATAGGCCTCAGGTTGGAGACCCTGCTAGAGGTTTAAGTGTGGATGATGGGTCAAAGAGTATCCACATCCTCACTGTTTGCCTAATTATTCTAAACACAGCTACTTCCAAATAGCACTGTATGAACATTCATATTGCTGTACATCTTTTTAATTATTGGCAAAGTAATGCTTTTTCCAATGTAATGATCTTGAAATAGTTCACTGTGGTTTTATATACATTTTCCTTACTACTTCTGACACATGTAGTCAATTATTCTAATATCCCCAAATCTATTCTTTCTTTACTGGTATTATTAATTTTTATCATATGTAAAATTTCTACAAATAGATCATACTCAAGAATTTTCTTGCCATTGTTAAGAATTCATACTTCATAGATGAATTTCAGAACAAAGTTGTGAAAATAAAGGGCAAAAAGACCCATTCAAAAATTATAGTTCAAAATGCAGTGAATTGTGAATTAGGAATGACTGCTGTTTTCTTGAGTCTCTTCTGTCTAGACTATATACTACTCCTGAGTTCACTTCATTATTCTTCAGTTTTCTGAGTGAGAACAATTACACTTACATTTAAGTGTTAACACTCTCAGCCTCTGGTATTTAACTCCATAAGAACATTGTCTTTGTATTGATCATCACTGTCTCCTCATGCCTGAAAAAGTGACAGTATCTGGCAAATGGTGGCTGCTTATATATATTTAATATATATATAAAATCAGTGATATATATCAGTAGCTTTCCTCCTTAAGTTCCCTTTTGATTTCAATTTTACAATCACTGGATAAAAACACTTATAACATCACACTTTTTCTAAAGCATGGAGCAGTTTAGAGGCTTTGAAATTATCTACATTCAATCATACAACTACTTGGGCTTGGGCCTAGTGCCCTCTTGTGGTACAGTATGAGTTTCTAGGTTTATGGGGGTTTTATTTGTTGTTTTTTGGAGTTAATTGCAATACCCTATTCTTTTCTTTATCTATATATGTTCTATATTTTCAGTAAATCCTCATATTTTAATTGGTTTACTCAATTCATTCTCTCCAGAAACTTCCTAAAACTGATTTTAAATGTTATATTTTTCCTACTTGTGTCTACATTGATTTTTTACTTACAGTACAGACTCCACCTATGTTCTAAAATTTTTAGTTTTTCCCAGTTCTGACCTGTTATTTCCCAGAAATGTTTGACTACTTTGTCCACTAAGGAATCTTGTTTTAGCTATGAAAGGTAAGTGAGTTTAACATATGTTGAGTATGCAGAAGAATGTGCTATACTTAATGCACTATATGAAGTATTTTATAAGTAAAATTCTTACTTAATATGCATCAATTTACAACATACATTATTTCATTTAATATTTTCTAAAATACAGTATCCTTGCCCTGGCCAGCTAGCTCAGTTTATTGGAGCATCATCATGTATGCCAAAAGGATGTGGGTTCGATTCCCAGTCAGGGCACATACCTAGGGTGCTGGTTTGATTTCCAGTCCAGGTGCATACAGGAGTGTTTGTACAGGAGAGAATGTTTTTCTCTTAGATCAATGTGTGTGTCCCTCTCTCCTCCTCCTTCTTCTCTCTTGAAAATCAATAAACATAAAATATATCCTTGGGTGTGGGTTAAAAATATAAGATACAGTATCTTTTATTATCTCTATTTTAAGAATTAAAGAATACCCTGAGGTTTAGATAAATTAAGAAAATCATTCAAAGTTACACAATTCCAAAGCAGTGGTAGAGTATAATTTTCTATAATCTAAGGTCTTCATTCTGGGAAGTGCTTAGTGCCCAGACAGAGAAACTAAAATAAAATAAGACTAAGAGGTACAAAAGAACCAGCTAATAATCAACTCACAGACAATTTTAAAGACTGGATGTTAGCTTATGAACAGCAAGCCAAAAAGTTTTAACTGGAAACAGTGATATATGTATTCCTAAACTTCAAGAAGATCATTCTGGGTGCATGGTGAGAAATAAGTTTAAGGAAACCAAAAGTTGATAAAGGGAATCCTATTAGAAAAACTGGCAGTGATCCAGGTGAGATGGATAGTAGACTAGGGTGACATTAAAGATGGAGAAAGAGTATATATCCAAGAAATATTTAAAATAGTGTCTATAGGACTTGGTGATTGACTGAATTAGGTGGTGAGAGTGACACTCCAAAATGGATTTTCTGATGATGAGCAAGGTGTGCATGCTGCCTGAAGGTTTTCTTGCATTCTTTACATTCATATGGTCTCTCTCCAGTATGAATTCTCTGATGTTGGGCAAGGGATCCACAGTAACTAAAAGCCTTTCCACAAACATTACATTCATAAGGTTTCTCTCCAGTATGAACCCTCTGATGTTGGGTAAGGGATGAGTCATTGCTAAAAGCCTTCCCACATTTAATACACTCATAGGGTTTCTCTCCAGTATGAACTCTTTGATGTTGAGCAAGGTAGGCAATCTGGCTGAAGGCTTTCCTACATTCCTGACATTTATAAGGTTTTTCTCCAGTATGAATTCTCTGATGTTGAGCAAGGTGTGAATTCTGGCTGAAGGCCTTCCCACATTCTTTACATTCATAGGGTCTCTCTCCAGTATGTATCCTCTGATGTACAGTTAGATATGCACGAAGGCTAAATGCTTTCCCACACACATTACATTCATAAGGTTTCTCACCAGTATGAACTCTCTGGTGTTGAGCAATTGATGATCTATTACTAAATGCCTTCCCACATTCAATACACTCATAGGGTTTCTCTCCAGTATGAACTCTCTGATGTTGAGCAAGATAGGCAAACTGGCTGAAAGCTTTCCTACACACCTTACATTCATAAGGTTTTTCTCCACTATGAACTCTCAGGTGTTGAACTAGGTGTGCATTCTGACTAAATGCTTTCCTACATTCCTTACACTCATAGGGTTTCTCTCCAGTATGAATCCTCTGATGTTGAACAAGATTTGATCTCTGGCTGAAGGCTTTCCCACATTCTACACATTTATAGGGTTTCTCCCCAGTATGAATTCTTTGATGAAGAATAAGGGATGAGCTCTGGCTGAAAACCTTTTCACAGTCATTACATTTTAAAAGTTTCTTCTCTGTATAGATATTCTTGGGCTTGCTAGCCATTAAATTTTTTTTAAAGCTTTTTTTATGTGTTTCATGTTTATGTACTTTCTCCTCTTTTGGAATAATCTGTTGTATATGAAGTAGTGTGTTCAGATGGAAACTTTGCCAAGATTTCTTATATTCTTGTCCTCTCTCATAAACAAGGGCTTCTTCACGAGTGATTGTCTCTTCTTTGAAATATGCATTCTGATTCACTGTACGTCTCTCAAAATGGCCCTCACATTTCCATTCCCCTCTCAAATTGGAGTACTCAAGGCCACAGTTTGTAAGTTTTTCTATTATCTTCTGAGATGACTGTGCTTCATAAACGTCCTGCTTTGGGGTTAATTCTTCACTCTCACACACAGATTCCCAGCCTGAAAAATAATAAGAAAAAATGTCTCCTCTATTATGTACCAGGAGGTACATTTATGAAAGTACATAAAGTGAAGTGAGTTTAATAGCAAATGAAACCAACAAGAACATTGGCTTTCATAGTTCTGAAGTGAGTAAGAACAAAAACAAAAAAAAAAACAGGTTATACCGAAACTTAGTCGGGGAATGATTAGAATTATAGAAAAATCAGTAAGGTAAATCTCAGGTCAAGAAGAAATTATGGAATAAAAACTCTCAGTAAAGTGGGAACAGAGAGAGCATACCTCAACATAAATACCACATGTGAAAAACCCACAACTAACACCATACTCGATGATGAAAAGCTGATTTCCCTTTAAGATCAGGAATAAAACAAGATCTCCACTTTCACCACTCTTACTAAACATAGGATTGGAAGTTCTAGCCACAGCAATCAGACAAGAAAAAAGTAAATGGCATCCAAATCTGAAAGAAGTAAAACTGTCATCATTTGCAGATGTCATTATTATATGAACCTTAAGGCATCCACAAAAAATTTTTCTAATAAACTCACTAATGTATCAGGATACAAAATTAATATTCAGAAATTGATTGCATTTTATATACTACTTATGAACTATCAAAAAGAGAAATTAAGAAAATAATCCAATTTACAATTGTATAAAAAAGAATAAAATACCTAGGAATGAAATTTAAACAAGAAAGTAAAAGACCTGTACTTGAAAAACTATAAGAAATTGAAGGTACAAGCAAATAAAAGGATATATGTGCTCATGGATAAAAAAGATAACATTGTTACTACCCAAAGTAATCCACAGACTCAGTGCAATCTCTATCAAAATACCAATGGCTATTTTCCACAAAACTAGAACAAATAGTCCTAAAATTTATACTAAACTACAAAATACCCTAAACTGGCATAGAAATCTTGAGAAAAAAGAACAAAGTTGAAGGTATCATGCTACTTGACTTAAAACTGTACTACAAGGTGATAGTAATCAGAATAGCATGGTATGTGTTATAAAAATAGACACAAAGATCAATGGAACAGAATAGAGCCCAGAAATAAACCCATGTTTGTATGGTCAATTATTCTATAACAAAAGAGGCAAGGATATACCGGTGGGGTGCGGACAGTCTATTCAATAGACGGTGTTCAAAAAAACTGGACAGACATATGCAAAAAATTAAACTAGACCACCTTCTTACATGGTCTCTAAAAATAAACTAAAAAATGGAGTAAAGAGATAAATGTAAGTCTTGAAACCATAAAACTAGGAAAAAACAAAGGCAGTAAACTTTTTGACATTGTTCTTAGTAATATTGTTTTTGTATATCTCTCCTCAAGTAAGGGAAACAAAAGAAAAAATAAAAAAATAAAAAGTTATTCAGATATCAAGTACAGCATAGGAAATATAGTCAATAATTTTGTGATAATCACATATGGTGTCAGATAGGTACTAGCCTTACTGGAGCAATCATTTCTTGAGGTATATAAATATCTAATTACTATATTGTACTCCTAAAAGCAATATTGTATGTCAACTATAATTGAAAACTAATTTTTAGAAAGGAAAAATTAAGAAGATGATTGGACTCAGTTACAGTTTTATGCATGTACTGTACTGAACTGAAATACAGGCACTGAAATAACCTCTATTCTTATAGTTGCTTCTTTTAATAACATTCACTTAACATTGTGACAGGTACTGTTCTAGAAGCTTTCAATATCATAGTAAACAAAGTTTACTTAATTTCATTGATCTTATTTTCTTTGGGAGACAGAAAGTAGGTGCTAATTATGTAAATTTTATTGTTATGTTAGAAGGTACTAAGGGCTACAGAAAAAAAAAAAAGCAGGTAAGACTCTCACATGGATATCTCCCTCTACTCCCTTCCTCATTCCTTGCCTCCAATTCTCTCTCTCTAAAAATAATTTTTAATCCTCATTGGAGGGTTTTTTAAAAAGCAGGTAAGAGAGATCAGGAGTGTAGATGAAGTCAAAGGCAGGAATCAATAAGTTAACATTGATTAATGGCTACCATAAACAAATCAAAAAACAACAAGTGCTGGCAAGACTGTAAAGAAAAGGTAACCCTAGTATACTGTTGGGTTTGAGTTCCAAAATATAAAAACAACCCACATGACCACTCCAGGAGGACAAACAATCCAATTAAAAAAATGGGCAAAGAACCTGAACAGACACTTCTCCAAGGGGGACATATACAGGGCCCAGAGACATATGAAAGGATGCTCAGCATCACTAGCCATCAGAGAAAGGCAAATTAAAACCACAGTGAGATACCACTTCATACCAGTCAGAATGGCCATCATAAATAAGTCAAAAAACAACAAGTGCTGGTAAGGTTGTGGAGAAAAGGGAACCCTAGTTCACTGTTGGTGGGAATGCAGACTGGTGCATCCACTGTGGAAAACAGTATGGAATTTCCTCCAAAAACTAAAAATGGAACTGCCATTTGACCTGGCAATTGCACTGCTGAGAGGATACCCTAAGAATCCTGAAACACCAGTTTAAAAGAATCTATGCACCCCAGTGTTAATAGCAGCCCAATTTACAATAGCCAAGTGCTGGAAACAGTCTAAGTGACCATCAGTAAATGAGAGGATCAAAAACCAGTGGAACATTTACACAATGGAATACTATGCAGCAGAAGGAAAAGAAGGAACACCTACCCTTTGTGACAGCATGGATGGAACTGGAGAATATTATGCTAAGTGAAATAAGCCAGGCAGTGAAAGACAAATATCATATGTTTTCACCTATAAGTGGAACCTAATCAACAAAACAAACAAGCAAGCTAAATATAACTGGAGACATGGAAAGAAACAAGAAACTGATAGTAACCAGAGAGGAGGCGGGAGGGGGATAAGAGGGGAAAGAATGGGAAAGGTCTCAAGTAACATGTATAAGGGGCCCATGGACAAAGACAATGAGGCGGGGAGGAATGAATGTGGGAAGTGGGGATGGGCAGGGCAGGGGGAGAGTAATGGGGGAGAAATGGGGACAACTGTAATTGAACAACAATAAAAATAATAAGTTCATATTTAATTTAAGCAAAGATTTGAAGGAAGTGATTAGTTGGTTAGATATTTGGAGAAAGTTATTTAGATAACTAAAGTAGAAGCATATTTCATCTGAGGAATAACAAGAAAGCCAGTGTGGCTGGGGAGGAGGGAGTAGCAGAAGATATCAGGTAAAGGTCAACCAGATTACGTAAGCATTAGAGACATCCTAAGGAATTTGACTTTTAATCTGAGTGGAGAGCCACCAGTGTGAGTAGAGGAGTGATATCTAATTACTAATTAATGAAAATAGTAGAAGTTGTGAAGTAAGAGGAGAAGGAAAGGGATCTATTAGTATAATAAGAGATTCTGTCCTCCAGGGAGACAGCAGTCTGCTGGAAACCCAGGCACCCTCTTAAAGAACCAGCACACAAAATCTTGTTCAAGCCACTTACCCTGGGCTCTGGCACAGAGAGGGCAGACTGGAACACACTGTAGTGTGAGGACAGAATGGTTGTGTGGCTCCAAGGAGAGAGCTAAAAGGGCAGTTGCCATGATCCCTGTGCTGAGTCTATCTCCTGCACTGTATAGAAATGCCACCTTTCCTAAGTTGAGCATTCCCCTCCATACTGCACTGACCTGGAGGGATGCAGTAGACCTACCCTATTAATTCCCTGTTGCCTGGCCCTGCTGCGTTCATGTCCTGCAGAGGAGATAGCTGCCGGGGCACATGGGGTAGAGGTCCAGGGAGATTCAGGGTGTGACAGACACTGAGTATGTGGTTCCAGGGCTTCTGTGCCATGCACCATAGAGACCCTCCAATCCTCCGACAAGAGTTCCAGTAGCACCACCCTCCCAAATTTCAATGGCCCTGACCTACCAAGCTCATACTCTTTGGCCAGACCAGGCCTGCTATACAGACTCTCTTGGAAGACTCTTGAGGAGTTCCAGGCAGATTCAAGGAGAGACTGAGTTGTGTGGCTCTAGGATAAGGCCAATTTTTTCCCTTGCATGCTTGACCAGCTCCACGGTTCCTATACAAAACCCTCCCTTCACAAAGCAAAATCTTCTGTTTGGGCTTGATGAAGAAATGCTAGTAGCCTCACCCTGATGAATACCTGAGACCTTGCCTCACCAAAAAGGTCCATGGACACCCAGCAGGTGGCAACTGGCTGTGGTGTACCTGGAGAATTTTGCAGAGTAGCCTCAGACCCAGCACTGGTCCTGAGTTTAAATCTGTATAAATCTGGTGATGACCACTTGCTCCTACTGGGAGAGTCACAGAAACCTCCCTCATGCAACTTGCATACTTCCAGAGGCTCCTTCAGTAACAGAATAATAGTCAGCTAGTAGGCAAAGGCAAATTTTGGGGTGCCTCAGGCCTTTTGCTGACCTGTACCAAGACTTGGTCCTGGTGAAAACCAACTATGGTGCATAGCTTGGCCTCTCCCACACATGCCCAGGCCCAGTAGAGGCAGCCATAAACTGCAAATCACTTTGTACTTCCAAACAGGTAGCCCAGGGCCAGTCACAGACAATGTCTGATATTGACTTGCACTGCAGTCCTTCCCAAGATGGACTCATAACACACCAGAGCTGCTTTT